CTTTGGGATTACTCTACAGCATTTAATAGATATTTGTATATATAAACTTCAACGTCTGCTTTTGTAGGCTCAAATACTTGGGCTGAAATATTTCCCTGAAGGTTAAAACTCAGTAGAGGTTACGCGGAGGGTAGCCACTTCATCCCCTGTAGTCTTGTTTTTTTTCGATAAAAACTTTATATATACGTTTGTTTCGATTCAGAATGTAAATCCGCCAGGGAGCAAAGAAAAATCGAGTGTTCACACAGATTTTGTCCTTTCTGCCCCCTCGGGATTTGCATACTTTGAATTAAAACTAGCAGTCACTGGAACTCTCTGGCACAGCGTTTTTTTTCACCAGTAGCTCAAAGAATCTTTATTTAGGTGTGGTATCTTAAGTATATGGTAATTGTTGCTGCTATAATGTTATTACTGCGGTTCAACAATGAAGGTCTTTAAGCACGCAACAAGGTTAGTGACACTATTCCAACAACATCGAAAACTTATGAGAGATAGAACTTTCTGTATTTGGTAAAGGAGCACCTTGGTACTCAATCTTTTTCTACCTATTTATTAAGAAGAAAATAACCAACACGTATATTAACTCTTGGCTTACTCTCGTGCAGCATCTAAAAGGTCGTATGATCATAAAAAGCTCAGCGCGATTTTGAACATCAGCAGAACATCCTCGTTGTATTTATAGTGTGTGATGTGTCAAGTACAGCCTCTCGGTGCTCAAGACAGCAACCCACTCAATTTGATGAATAATAATAATGATAATAATAATAATCATATCATATTAGTAAAAGTTTTTTGGTGCTTATTTATTAGGCTGTTCCCAATATATATATATATATATATATATATATATATATATATATATATATATATATATATATATATATATATATATATATATATATATATATATATATATATATATATATATATACATATATATGCAAGTAAATCACTGTAGGTGCGCGTGATCCAGGTATATGCTGATAACCACAAGGAAAGAAAAAACACGAAGTTCCTAAGCGCTTTCGTGTCTGTACTCATCCCTGAAGATGTGAATTACACGAAAGCGCTTGGGAACTTCGTGTTTTTTTCTTTCCTTGTGGTTATCAGCATATATATATATATATATATATATATATATAATACTGTTTCCAGAGTTCATTGGCATATATCCGAAAGGTACGAACAGTAAATTGATCCCGTTGTAAATTGTTGTGAACCAAGACATACGGGATACCTGTCCTGTAAAATATATGAAAGACTGAAGAAAAATAAGTACTATATCAAATTCGTGACGAGAAGCACATAATTAACCGTAAAGGGAGAAGAATTATATCTATCACGACGACAAAGGTGGCTCGGCGCCTGTCGTAATAAAACAGTTTAACTATGACAAATTCTTTTGCTCGAGGTATCTATTCTTTGGGCATGAATTAGGCCACAACGTTTAAAGCCACAATGAAATAAAACATAATTTCTACTTAGCATTAAAGCAAAAGTCAGTCTGATCGATAATGGTGTTCAGTGTGGCGCGACAAACTGCGATCAACGACCCCTGGTGTGGCTTTCATAAGATATTAAATATTACACACACTGTACGGTGCTGAGAGTATATGTTTCTTAGTTTTTCTTTATATATATATATATATATATATATATATATATATATATATATATATATATATATATATATATATATATATATATATATATATATATATATATAATTTTTTTTTTTTTTTTTTTGGGGGGGCAGGAAAGGATTTATATAAACCCCCAAAACTTTGTTCATATGTTGGCAAATTTCGTTGTTAGTATTACAATAATTGTTTTCCATGTGCTGAAAACTAGCCAAATTATAGTGGTTTATTTGCTAGCGGTAAGAGTTAGTGTAGGACAGGGTGAACTATCGGCTTGAAACTATGACATCAGTGTGCTAAGAGTTATTCCCTGGGGTCTGTTGTTTTTAATACCTAGAGGTCAAAGTGGAAGAACAAATATACGGTCCTGATATTTAATGACAACGTTGGTGGACATTTTTAGATCCATCAGAGGTTTGTGATGATTGAATACTTGTCGGGGAAAGGTTAAATAAAGACTTTGATCAACACCAGAACGTCGAAAATTGTACTTTTTATTTATTACCGTACAGTATTACTCAAAATTTATTTATTTTATCCTTTTATGTTTAAATGTCATGTATGTTGTATTTTCCAGTTATTAACAATTATATTATTTTGTATTTATGGACCAACTAATTATTAATTAGCATAAATAAGCCGCAACTCCACCATGAAGGAAACCGTTGTCTTGATTGTCTTTTGTCAGGCTTCGTGGCTGGCTCGAACCAGTCTCGTTCATTACCCTTAATTGTCCCGCGTTCCATTCACCGCGCGGAAGCTCGATTGGGTCCGGATTCCGAACCGTAATAACCATGATTTATATTCACTGATAACAGCGCAATACTGGGAAATGAGCTCGAGATGATTACAGTACAGTAAAGGTCTGCCGTGCATGGTGGAGCCGCCGAGGAGGAGGTCAGTTGGGTGGAGAGACTCGAGGCTTCTGTTATACAGGACGAGACCAACTGCTGGTGGGGATCATAATGTAGGAACACCAGATGAAAGATCAACTGAGGCCGATTGTAATAAAATATATGACGTTATATAGGAGGTGAAATATGGTGAAAATAACGAATAAAATGATTTGTAATTTTAGAAATATTCGAAAAAAAAAATGTAAGCAAACATGAGACGAAGAATACTATATTATACAGTACGTCTTTATTAAGAATGGTGGGGGGGATTGCTAGTGGTTTTCATAATATCCCGTTTTTTTATCTAATCCAGTAAATTAAACCTTGATTAACAAATTTAAATGTTAATACTCTTTTATTTGGTGCAAACAATTAATAAAAAAAAAATAATCGGCTTAGCTGAAATCCCGTCTCCCGCTTGATGACGTCACAGCTGTAACTCTTGCATGGAGAATACAATTAGCAGATGGGAGGGATTGGGGGTATTGATAAAAAGCTGCTTTGGTAAAAGGTTTGCCTGAAGAATCTCCACGCCAACTTATTTCACCAAACCTACCCTACCCTAAGCTAACCTTACCTTACCTAACCTTACATTACCTCAACTTACCTTGCCTAACCTAACCTTACCTTACCTAACCTTACCTTACCTAACCTTACCTTACCTAACCTTACCTTACCTAACCTTACATTACCTCAACTTACCTTACCTTACCTAACCTTACATTACCTCAACTTACCTTACCTAACCTAACCTTACCTTACCTAACCTTACCTTACCTAACCTTACCTTACCTAACCTTACCTTACCTAACCTTACATTACCTCAACTTACCTTACCTTACCTAACCTTACATTACCTCAACTTACCCATCTTTACCTAACCTTACATTACTCCCCATCTTTACCTAACCCATCCTTACCTTACCTTAACCTACCTTACCTAACCTTACTTACCTAACCTACCTTACCTTAACCTTACATTACCCTCACACCTTACCTTACCTAACCTTTACATTACCTCAATCCTAACCTTACCTTACCTAACCTTACCTTACCTAACCTTACCTTACCTAACCTTACCTTACCTAACCTTACATTACCTCAACTTACCTTACCTTACCTAACCTTACATTACCTCAACTTACCTTACCTAACCTAACCTTACCTTACCTAACCTTACCTTACCTAACCTTACCTTACCTAACCTTACCTTACCTAACCTTACATTACCTCAACTTACCTTACCTTACCTAACCTTACATTACCTCAACTTACCTTACCTAACCTAACCTTACCTTACCTAACCTTACCTTACCTAACCTTACCTTACCTAACCTTACCTTACCTAACCTTACATTACCTCAACTTACCTTACCTTACCTAACCTTACATTACCTCAACTTACCTTACCTAACCTAACCTAACCTTACCTTAACCTTACTCCACCTAACCTTTACCTAACCTTACCTAACCTAACCTTACCTTACCTAACCTTACCTTACCTAACCTTACCTTACCTAACCTAACCTTACCTTACCTAACCTTACCTTACCTAACCTTACCTTACCTAACCTTACCTTACCTTACCTAACCTTACCTTACCTTACCTAACCTTACCTTACCTAACCTTACATTACCTCAACTTACCTTACCTTATCCCCACAAATGGCATTGGGATGGTTAATTTTTTGGTGAATTAAGCTGGGATAGAAACTTTTCAGGTGATCCATATAAATAACTGTACTTGTAAATAAACTGATATATGGCTTGTGTTGGCGGGAGACAATTACACCTGGTTAGTCCAACAATTAAACTGTCCTTGGTGGAGTCGACTTATTGCATTGTTTAACATCTCTGTACACCTATATTGTTGGTCTACATGTAATATCAATACGATATTATACTGAATGACGATTTTGCTGAAGAATATCGATCTATGTCAGTCTCTTGTACAGATATATGGCCTCATAGTCATAGCTAAGTTGATAGATCAGATTATGATATTGGCCAAAACTTACACCTGCAGTATATTCCGCCTTGCACATATCTAAAAAAAGTATATATATATATATTCGTAATCAGGAAATGGACGTATTTCCTAACTCTTTCAGTAAATTCGTGTGATCTCTTACTCAGGAATTTCGTGTATTTACAAAAGCAGTTAGGAGATAAGTTTATTTTCTAAAATACACTCATGATTTCTACCACGATTTCTGAAGGGGTTTCAGTGAATGTATGAAGAACAATGTGGGGATGAAAATTCCACAGCAGAGCAGTCTCTGATGCAGCTTCGACTTGTGGTATACTGTACAAGCTATGTCAACTTCCACTCACAAGTGGATTATGGTTTAACATGACCATCTGAGAAAATTTTGTGTGTTGAGAGTGCTAATGACAAAACAACCAGCTGAAGTGGCATTTCACCTAATATAAATGGATATCTTTCTCATTCTTGGTGTCCCAGCTATTTTCCAGAGTGATAACGGATGTGAATTCACTTCACATGCTTTTTCTGAATTGAAACAGATGTGGCCAATTCTATTATTGGTCCATGGAAAGCCTCGACATCTCCAGAGTCAAGGTTCTTTTGAAAGGGTCAGTGGATATAATCAAAGACATTTTGGTTACTTGGATAGCAGACAACACCTCACGAGATCAATGTTGGTATAAAATTCGTGTAATTCCAGAAAAAAAAACACTGCTCGTCCTGCTGGAACAAATTGTTCACCATACTCTGCTGTGTTTGGGCGTGACGCTCGAGTGGGATTGACTTCTTCATTACTGACAAGAGAAGTCACTGAAAGATTAGAAGATGAAAACGATCTCCAAGCTCTTGTGACTCAGCCAGATCAACCCAGCCAGCCACTCCCTGATGACAAGCAGCCAGATCAACCCAGCCATCCACTCCCTGATGACAAGCAACCAGGTCAACCCAGCCATCCACTCCCTGATGACAAGCAACCAGGTCAACCCAGCCAGCCACTCCCTGATGACAAGCAACCAGATCAACCCAGCCAGCCACTCCCTGATTACAAGCAACCAGATCAACCCAGCCAGCCACTCCCTGATGACAAGCAACCAGATCAACCCAGCCAGCCACTTCCTGATGACAAGCAACCAGATCAACCCAGCCAGTTGTAGACCCTTCAAGTAACAAATTGCAGACCTTGCCAGTTGTGGAGTGAGAGGCGAAAACTATTTCTAGAACGGTCGTGACTGAAGAACAAGCAAAATTTTTCATGTTGCTTGTAATATTTAATCACTCTAACATTTCAGTGTCTTGTCGAGATACTATTTCTGCGACAGGTCTCTCACTAGTGACCAAATTCTCTTGAGTAAACAGCAAGAGGGAGAGATCGACCGCCTTAGATAATTACGGGGAAGAGAACTCAGTTGATGGACTCCTGACCAAACTCCTGACAGGCTAATTGTAATAGACGGTAGTAAGACGAGATAGAAAGCGCAATTGAATTTTATTTTACTGTTTTTAAATCGATTCTAGTGGCTTTATATATTCCGAATTATTCATCACGATCTTATTTTCACATGTTCTAGTTCTGGAAATGTCTCTCCCGATTATCTTATCATGATGAGAATAAAATTTGTTTTTGTCTTCCGAGTGTTTGTTTTAAGATGTAATTTGTATGTTTCAGATTCTGGTTAGCATTAATCTAGAGTTGTTTTATGTTTTGAAATTCATCCAGAATTGCATTTTATTTGTAATACGAGTATCGAAAGACAAGTTTTTGAAATCATCGTTTCGAGATGTGTGTGTGTGTGTGGGGGGGGGTGGAATGCCTGGAATTTCTCGGTGATGAAGCAAGTGCCAGTCAAGGCGAGCCCTAAACCCTACTAGGGGACAGCCAGTGAGGAACAAAAGGTAGAGAATTCAGATAATGAGTGAAAGTGACTCTGAAGAACGATTTGGGGAAAGTTAATAAAGAGACATTGGTGATATAATAGGTGGAGAGAAAGGGATATAACGGGGCATGAATTAATCGGAAGCTCAAGGAAAGAGAAACAAAACGATAAAAAAATGGGGGGGGGGGGCAGGAGGAGGAGGGCAGGAAGAGGAGGAGATGGGGAGAAGGAGAGGGAGGAGGAGGAGGAGAAGTAGGGGGCAGGAAGAGGAGGAGAGGGAGAAGGAGAAGGAAAAGGGGCAGGAGAAGGAGAAGGAAAGGGGGCAGGAAAAGGAGAGGGGGAAAGAGGAGGGGAGGAGGTGCAGGATGACAACGGCAGTTACCACAGGGTTGGAGAACGTGAAGGGTTTATACTAGATGGCTGGTGAGCTTCAAAGGGTCGATTGAGAACAACAGCCGAGGAGAAGGATTATTGATTATCCACCTTCACTTGGTGCTAAAAGTACCTCCTACACTGACACACTTACAACCTCACGCTTTCTCTAGCTCTCTACGCTCACGCACACACACACACACCGCCATACACATACACACGCCACACACATACACACGCCACACACACACACACACACACACACACACACCACACGCACACACACACACCCACTACAAATTGATATAAATAATATCGTTCGTGGGCGTCGCCAGCGTGAATATTTCAAAAGTTGAAGCAAAAGGCAGCGAGTTGGTTGACGGGAAGTACAAATAATTCACCCTCTCAAATAACACACAATGGTAGGACGGGGGGGGAGGGGGGAGGGGAGGAGGTATTTATTTGTAACTCTTCAAAGAGGTAAAGGTTGAGTCCAGGTGGTGTGTCAGTAGGTTATGAGAACGGGAGACCTCGTGGTTCCGTGTCCTTGTTGAGGTTGATTGTAGTGTTTAATGATACGTTCTCGATATAGTTAAGCCTTAGAACTTATTTTGGATCACCTGAAAAATTGATCACCTCAGCTTACTTCACCTGAATATTAACTACCATAACGCAAAACTAATTCAAACTACTTTACCTACTTTAACTTAACTTGCCCAAACCTAATCTAATTCTAGTTTAAACTAACCTACTCAACCATAACCTAACCTACCCAATCTTAATCAAACCTACGCTTACCTAACTAAGCCCCCAAGTTGTAGTAGGGGGTTTATCTTCAGGTGAAATAAGCAGGGGTGTCTAATCTTCAGTTGATACTCTATTTATTAAGGTATTCTGTTGCTAGTTGAAGGTAATGCTAGATAATGATAAATGTTGGGTTAGTTGGGGAAAATATAAAGTTTTCTGTGTGGGAGACTTTTTTAATTTACCTTCGGCTCAGGTCATGAATGAATCATCAATAGTCACGCTGACATACATCCACACAAGCTCATGTTTATCTGTAGCTGGTTGGATGTGGAGATCATAGTATTGTGTGTGTGTAGGTAGTGGTGACCTGTGGTGTAATGGTCAGCATGCTCGCCTCGCCTTTGGACAAGTTTCTTTACGCCATTTGCCTCTGTCTACCCAGCAGTAATTGGGGACCTGGATGTTAATCGATTTGCGGATCGTGTTCCGGGGTAATAGTTAGCCAGTGCAGTTGGCGAGTTGTCCGGTCTTCTAGGACTATTCATTGACACTGGGTCATGCAACTCGTTAACTTAGGGTGTGGTTGTTGTGTTGGTGACAGCTTCTACACCTTACACAAATTGACGCCAAGGTGGCCATCCTTGTTACACGAGGGGCAACCATTCTTAAGTAGGTGTGTGTGTAGGTGTGTGTCCGTGTGTCTCAGTAATTAAGCTGCGGCGTCAATATTGCTTCATTTACCTAAGAACCAACAAACCCTAGTTCGTTCTACACACGCACTACCCGCCCTCGCTCGCCCACACGGCCATTATCCTACCTTCTGCGCCAATAAGTGTTCTCATTATGGAGAACATATTTACAATACTCCTGATGGGATTTCAGGTTAAACGAGTCGAGATTATTAACCCCATAAATCCCCGTAAAGTGACTTATTTATTGTTTGAAAAAAAAAGTGATTCATATCGAAATGCTAAAAGCATTTCGATGCGCCAGACTATTTAAATACGCTGAATTAACCGAGTGAGTAAGATATCATAGTCCATTGAGTACGAAGTCTTAACCCTTGAGTACAGCGACATTGTACTCGGGTGGGGGGTGAGTCATCATGCTCAAGTAGTTAATGATATTCCATGTGGGTTTTAGTAGACTTGACGCAGAGACGAAATGACCCAGAAAATGTGTTTCCTATGCTAATGTTAGTTGAGGTTGACTTGTTTATGTTGGTGGATAATTAGTTTGTAGTTAATATTAAATACTTTACTGTACCTTAAAATTGTTCATTATTTGATTTACATAAGTGGTTTCTGGGGCAGGATATTGAAGTTTGTTAGATAGTATAATAAAAAATATGTTGGGATATTTATTTGCCTGGTATTGTACTTTGTAAAATATGATCTATTGAACTGTGTGTGTGTGTGTGTGTGTGTGTGTGTGCATCTGACCGTAACACAGTGTTGATAGCCGGAGATAATGTAAGATCTGGTCGGTGGTGGGATGGGAGTGGTCCGCCTCGCCGTAACTCTGCAGTATCTATGTGTTTACGGTGAATCCCTTGTGTCTCGCATGGCGCCAGACCGACCGCATGACCCGAGTCTTGGTGGCGTCTTGCTCTGTTTATTGAATCTCAGTAAGGCGGCCTCGATATTTATCTGGTGTGGCCTGTACTCCCTCACATAAGCTGTCTTGCACCCTGACGTTTATACCACCGTTTGTTATCGGTCGTCCGGTTGTCTCTCTCTCTCTCTCTCTCTCTCTCTCTCTCTCTCTCTCTCTCTCTCTCTCTCTCTCTCTCTCTCTCTCTCTCTCTCTCTCTTTGTCTGATTGGCTCTATAGGTCTTTGTGGAGAGCAGTATGGCGGACACGTCAGTATTGTGCTGGATAAGTGATAATCCTTAGTCAGTATTGGCTAAGGTAAATAATAATCTATGGACAGTATAGTGAAGGGAAGGTGATGGATAATTGTCATCTTATCATCGCACAAGATCTCGGAAAAAAAAAATATTACAGGGAAGTTTATCGCAACGTGACGGAGGCGAAGGAATGATTATATTGCAGGAGTAACGTAAAGGAGGAAGAGGAGAGGCAAATCCACGAGCGTCATATGTTAAAGTCAACACGACCTGGACACTATAGTTTATCACCGTGTTAGCAGTAATACAGGGAGGGCGAGGCGGCGGCAGTGTATTGTGTTGAGATTGAAGAGTAACGCACATGATAAGCATATAATTTTACGATCCTGTTCGCTATCTTGCCACCGCCGTCACAAGCCTCTAGCAGTCAGAAAGGAGGGAGGGTGAAAGGGAGAGAGGGAGGGAGGTTAAAAGGAAAGGGGGGGTTAAAAGGAAGGGAGGAACAAAGAAAGGTTAAAATGAAGGGAGGGAGAGAGAAGGTTAAAAGAAAAGGAGGTAGAGAGAAAGGTTAAAAGGAAGGAAGGGAGGGAGGGTGAAAGGGGGGGGAGGGGAGAGAAGGAAGTGGAAGAACCAATAGGATCTCTAGAGTAAAAGGAAGTACTTGTGTGAAGGATATTGGTTATATTCTCTCTCATAGGGGCCGTGGCTCCACTATTGCCATCACCATGAATCACCTGAAGGATTGTTATTGGTTCTGGGTACTGTGTCAGTCAGTCGGTGAACACCACACTAGGAAGCGCTTCACCCAGAGAGGGTTGGAGGCTGTACCAAGCGCACTTAGACTGGAATCAATCGCGATATCCCCAGTACAAGTGATCATTCCTGTGATCATGGTAGCACTTCATGTCACTATCAGAATCATGATCAGAGAGACTCACACGAACATGATCTCTTAACAGTGTTTCAGTAGGTGATTTTAGTGAAGATATCTGAAATAAACTTGGTTGGTTAGGTGTAAAAAGTTAGGCTTGGGTACTCTGGTTCTCAAGAGTTTGAATGTGATCTGTTGCATTACGTAAAGATTAAGCACCCAAGCTTTTTTCAAGTAATGATTAAACACCCGAACCTAACCTAACCTAACTCCTCCAGGGATCGTTCGAGTGTTTAATGAAGTGAAGGAAACCGGGGTGCCTAATCTTTACTTGATCCGATGCGTATGTCACCGTTGAAAAAAAAAAACCGCACAATCAAGTCGGGGAAGGCTTGTAATTTGGGTGACAAACTTACACCCTCTCACCAACCACCGCGAGA